CACCTAAGCAAATTTTTTTTCCTATTCTCTGCCTCTGTGTTCCTCTTGAGTTAAGCTCCAGGGCTTTCTACCATGCCATTTTTTCCTTGGAACCAGTCAACCATGAACTGAACCCTCTGAAATGGCCAGTTAAAGTCTACTTCTGTTCATTAAGTTGTGTCACATATTTTGTCCCAGTGAGGAAGGCTGATTAATATAGAAAATGAATATTGAAGGTGGGTATGAGCTGTAAATATACCTACCCATGTGGTTCAAAAACTTTGATTTTTAGGAAGAGTTTTGAAAAGTAAAGAATTGGGCTGGAAAAATTCTAGAGTACTCTAAGCAAAGTCTGATGGACAAATCTTCTGTGAGCTTGGATGACCAGAATGCTGACAGGAATACAAAAACTAAAGGTCAGACTTACATGATTTTAGATAAGAATAAAGACTCTATTAGGAATGGACTAGAGATCAGTTGTGTTGCATTCTGGTAAAGACCTTATCTACATTTGGTCATGACCTGAGACTTTGCAGGAGGCTGACTTTAGAGGTGATAGGCCAATTAATCTGATGAAGGAATTTTTTTTTTTTTTTTTTGGCGGAACCGGGGTTTGAACTCAGGTCCGTGCGCTTGCCAGGGAAGCGCTTATTCCACTGAGCCATCTCCCCGGCCCCTGATGAAGGAAATTTTAAGGCAGCTCACTGTTCAAGTTGTGCTGTGGATACTTCTGAATGTTTTTTGCTAGAGCTTCAGTGAGACTCAAGAACCAAGAGCAGAGTCAAAATACATTAAAAAAAAAAAAAAAAAAAAAACTTTAGAGAGGCACCTGTGTAAATGTGGGGCTCATCAGAGTGTAATTGCTGAGAGGATTAGCGCCATTATAAAGGAGCGAAGTACTTCCTACCAAGTCAGTAGAAAAGAAGGCTTAAGAATATCTCAGGAAGTGGTCAGATCAGACCCCACCTATCATAAGCTCAGAGATATCAAAGGGCAAATTTTTTTGAAGGATTTTTGAGGAGAATACCTCAGGATGCTGTACTCTCTTGAGGACATTTAGGAAGGTGTATGCTAAGTACAGCCATCCAAACACTCAGAATTTACTGCAGGCATAGTTATAAGGAGTCCAGTGACTGTGCAAGTTGGCAGCAAGTCTTGGCATTATTCACTTAATGTCAACTTTGTAGGCAGGCAGAATGTAATAGTTATGGGGTCATGGAAGCTTCCACATGGGTTTTTGGAGAAGGCTCATAGGTCAGGAAATGTGGTATGACAGGATTACAGTCTCTGGTGGGAGCCCCTGTGAAGGTAATGCTTGAAGGTGTGAGACCATGCAGAAATGGAAACCATATGAAGTTGCAAATGCCAAGAAAATGAAATTCATGCTAAGAAAAGCGCATAGGCAGTGAACAGACATAACTCAAGAGAGAGGCCATATGAACTGCAACTGACAATTCCGCAGGGGCAGGGCTACCCATGCCGTTAGAATTCACAGTTTACCACCACATGCCCTGTGTGCTAGACAAGGAGCTAGCTACCATATTTAATGTTTTCCCTACTGGGCCTTGAACTTGCTTTAATCCAATTCCTTTCTATTTCCTTAGTCTTGCTTTTTTGAGTGAGAATGTTTACCCTGTATATTGAAAATATTTTTCTTTTTTTTTCTTTTTAACAGTGGTCTGTAGCTAAGAGATTGCCTTGAGTTTCAGAGGCACAGGCACAATAAGAAATACTCCATGTTCTAATTTATATGTGAAACCTAAACGAGCTGAACTCAGAGCTAAAAATAGAATGATATTACTGATGACTATAGGTGGTAGTTGAGGAGAGAGAAAAGTGGGAAGCTGTTGACCAAAGGGCATAAGGTTTCTGATAGAAGAAAACAATATTTTGAGATCTGTGGCACAACAGGGTGACTAAACAACAATAATGTTCTCAAAATAACTAGGTATACTTCACATTGAGTCACCATAAAAAATGACAGATAAGCAAGACACATTGATTTGTTTGACATTGTAAGTCTGTATATTGTGTGTGTGTGTGTGTGTGTATTTGTGCTGCATAACTATTAGTGAATTAAAATAGTATTGCTAAAAGTAAAAAATCCTAATAAAATATCACTTCACATCTATTAGGATGACTATTGCCCAAAATTAAAAATAATGAACATTGTCAAGATACAAAAACAATAAAAACTTTGTTCACTTTTGGTGAGAATGTATGATGGTATGGCCTTTGTAGAGGACAAAGGTGATATTTTTCAAAATATTTAAAAATACAGTGGTCATCTGAGGCAGCAATTCTATTTCTAATATTTATCCAAATGAATTGAAAGTAGAGTCAAAATTTCGTAGAATGTACATCACAAACCCTGAACCCACATAAATTATAGGCTTATATATAGTAATATATAATAATGATATATATAGGTATATGATAATGTATCAGTATTCCTAAGTCAATGCAAATGTACCACCATAATGCAAGATGTAAAGAGTACAAAAAATAGTTTCTGTAGGGAAGTGAGAGTATAGAAGGAAACTTTCTGTACTTGCCACTTTATTTTTCTATGAACCCAAACCTACATTTTTATAAAAAAAATTATTAAAAATAAGCATTTTTCTGTCCAAACAGAAGAAACAAAAGTACATTTTTAGAGAGAAAATAAATTTGTTCATGCATATGGCTTATAAGTCCTGGGACTGTTCCTACCATGTCTACTGGATTCTAGAGTTATTTTATTTCCCACAGTATCCCTTGGATTCAGTAGAGTTAATCTGATCATGAAGAATATTAGATAAACATGAATGTCTTTCAAAGTATCATAGATACAAGAAAGAGAACATGAGTACATTTTTAGGTTAACTCCTAATCTCCTTAGTTAGATCTTTATTCCTTGACTACCTCAACCCTGAAGGCCACGAGTCACAAATCTTGGTGGGAACAGTGCCCATGTGACACAGTTCTGGCCAATATAACATAAGCAAAACTGTAGAGGTTTCTGACAAATCTTCAAAATTCTAAAGCAACTACTAAGCCTTATTGTTCCTTTCCTGCCTGAAACAGAGACTGATTAAGGGAGGTGAAGCAGGCATCTTGAGGCCATGAGCTGGGGAACATCAGGAAAGAGGCTTCTGTGCTGCTCACGGCTGATAGGGAAGATGGCAGGAGCCTTGGCATCATTCAGAGGATAGCCATTGCTAGATGATTATTCCCTATGCATGTTTAGCTCAGGTTTAGGATTTTCTGTTTGCTAAAGAAAACACAATTTTGACTGATAGAGATGTATATACAGTGATTTTTTTAAAAATACAAGAAGTGCACTAAGCTACAATGATCAGTTTCTCATGGCATTTAGATAGATTTTGATATACAGCATCATCTAAAGATGCTGATTATTTGAGTGTTTATAGTAGATGATTAGCCACAAATTATCTTTTACCACTTTAAAAATGGTCATATCATCAGAAGCAAAAATATAGACTCTGGTTCCAGAGCCTAAATCCATGGCTTTCAGGGGTGGGAGGGGGTGGCACATGGGCCAGGGTAGGCCTGAAGATTAGCCTGGACCTGGCAGTGCCCCTTTTTGGTCTCTGGGCTTTAAGCTTTCTGTGCATTCTCCTCATTTTTGTGGGTTGTAAACTTTATTTTTAGATAGCATCCTTCCCGGCATTGTACAAGATAACTTATGATGTCTTAGAAAACCTTCATATAGTTTTTTATGAAGCTGTGTGAAGTGGCTTTGGTGAAAATTTAATGACTCCTAGAGGTCTTATTATGATTAGTTTTATAAGGAATTTGAAATATGGAAATTTCTGTCTTAATTCCTTTAAATTCTGATTATAACTTGCATGCTAATATATATTTGTAGGTAATTTGAAGGAACTGGCCAACTGCTGAGATGATAACTATATTAATTACTTTTCTTATAAGTTTTAATACAATTTCCTAATTATCTTGATTTTTAAAAATGGGTTGTAAATTCTCAAATATTAAAGTCTTCCTTCTGCCTAATGTAATTCTTCTCTAATATATGGCACTGAATTGCTTTTTCTCTTCTATATATGCTTATTAGCCTTTTCTTTAAGAATCAGTTACTATATTTATTTTTCAGAAGCTAGACCTGAAAGTAGAGCCTGCATCTGAAAACACTCAAGTTTGTATGTTCTGAACTAAATTAAATTAACTTATATCCATTCTGCTTGTTTGTAATGAATAGTTCAATTAAGACACAAAAGTTTTGGGGGCCAGGGAGATAGCTCAGTGGTCTAAGTACCTGTCTGGCAAGCACAAGGACCATGGTTCTATCCCTAGAAACTCATGTCATACCAGCCCCATGCTGGGCCGACCACTGAAACTAAGCATGGTGGCGAGCGCCTGTAATCCCAGCATTGGGGAGGCTCAGAAAGGAGGACCATTGTGTTGCATAGTGGGAGACCCTGTACCAAATAAGTAAGTAAATAAATAAATATTTTTTTAAAGAAAGACACAACATTTTTAAAAATTCTGTCAAGAAAGACCAAATTCAGTGGCTTTATACATATCAAGTCTAATTGTTAAGAGCTGTGAGAGTCTTTTGGTCCACTGTATATAACTAGTGCAAGGCATTGTATTAGATTGTGTTATTTTGGGTGGTTAAAGTAATATTTATGGTAATTTTAAATTAACAATAACAATAATGTAATAAGATTAATAGAAATGATAGGCTGAGTGGTGATGTGTGCTTATAATTCCAGCTCTTGGAAGGCTGTAAACAGGTGGATCACTACAAGTCTGATCTAGTAGACCCTGAACACCCCATAGACCTTCCCTAAAATACCAAAAAAAAAAAAAAATCACACAAGACTTTTGCATAAAAGTATTATTAAACAGAAACTACAATAATGCAAAGAGATTTTTACATGAAATGAAAAATACAACTATGAACATTGGTATCCCATATTCTAATCAAGAAGGCTGGAAGAAAGCATCAGAGAAATATCATCATGAATACACATGAATATTTCACAAGCTACACACCATTAAATTCATCTCAGCATGTTTTAGCAACAGATCTTCTGGTACAACCAATTTGGCAACATTTGTCGCTCATTGCCATTTCAAGCTGTCTCCATTTTGGTGAATGAACTTTCAAGTCTAAGACATTAGACAGTCCTGAATGGCCGTTGTCTTCTGCTTCATCTTGTCTATTATGAATAATTTTCTTAAGCTCTTGAACTCCAACATTTGAATTCTTTACTACAGGTACGTATTGTTGTAGCTGTGGTAATGATGGCTGTCCCTCCGACAGTGTTGCCTTCAACTCTTGTTGCACATTAGGAATGAATTCCAGTGTATTTAGGGAGTCTGCATCCTTGTTGGTCAAAGATGGTACGATTTCTGTTAAGTTAAAAATGGGGAGGAAAGAAAAATGTTTATGTCAAGGAGCATCAGGAAAACTACCAATGTTTGCATAGTCAAAAAAGAGCATTCACACAATGAAATTAAACATTGAAACAGAATCAGCAAGTGTCCTAATATCTAAATAACTTAGCTTGATTATAATTGGTCACCATAAAGTATTAGAATCTTTTCAAAGTTCTGTTTTATTCTGTTTAGTAACACATCATGTCTCTTTATCATCTCTTTTTTTATCATAATACTTATTTATTTGTTGACTGATCACTTATCTTCTGACATCATTTTGGTCATTCTAAACTCTTTATCTACAAGTGGATTTCTTTTTATCTGAGGAATTTTCTTCATGACTAAGAAAGTGCTGTGTTCTAATAACAATTATTTCAGAAAATTTTAGGGGCTTGGGATATAGCTCAGGGGCACAAGCACCTGCCTGGCAAGTAAGGTCCTGAGTTTGATTCCTGGTGCAAAACCCATTTTTTAAAAATTAGTTTAAGCTATCAAATGTTCCTTGATGGCAAGTTGACTGGCTTCAGAGTAAAATTGAAAAAGCCGAATTCCCAGTAGCTCTGATAGATCAGCAGGGGCTACAAGTCACTTAACATCCCTTACACAACTAGAAATTTCTTTCCCCAACAGTATCTATTCCAAGATAAAAGTATTTTATTTTAAAGAGAGAAATGGATTGAAAGAACACTAACTCAAGCTCACGGACTTCCAGAAGAAATGAGATTTTTCTGTGGTGTGTGTATATTACTAGTGTACTCTGTGTGGTGTGTGTTCCAGAGCTATGCTGGTAAATAGCAAGGTTGAAAACTGGGTTTGGGGGGCTGGAGAGATGGCTCAGTGGTCTAAAGCACCTACTTAGAACAAGCTTAGCAAAAGCATCAGGGACCGCGGTTC